AAAAAAAAAAAAAGGGCTTGGGGAGTTCAAAACACAACGGCAACATCACAGTTAGAATGTCTCGACGTTTTAAATTTGGCGTTGGATTCGCAGTTGACAGAAGAAAAGATGTTGCTTGTGTAAAGTAGGTGTGTGTTTCCAGAAGAAAGACAGGTGCGTTTCCCCTCGCTAGAACAGTAAAAGCAGAGCTAACCTGTGTTTTGATGGCTTGAAACTTTCTCAGGTTAGCCATGGAGGACGTTAGAAGCAGCAGACGGTGTGTTTTGCTGTGCTGCTGTATCTGGTGTGGTCTGTGAGTTCAAGAAAATAAGTGTTCGTAAGTGAGCAGTATTTATATTTGAAGCTGAGGAATTTAATTTATCTTGTCTTTCGCAATGATAAAATCCCACAGAACATGTGCCTACAGGCATCAAAACTGTTGAGATGCAAATCAGGTAGGTTTTTGCCAAGTGCCTCTGAACCTGTCCTCGGCTTTCCAGTTTGTTTGCAACATGCATAGCCTGTATTTTGATTATAGTTGAAGAAAAACCTTGCTTGTATAGAAATAGGTACACATGGAAACACTAGTGAGAAGTCTGTAGAACAGGGGAATAGAAAGGGGAAAACAGAAATGCAAACTGGTTTGTGTTTTAGTATCTTCTGCCTCGCTGACCGAGTTTTTGTCTTGGGACACTGAGGAGAAAAGGCTATAGCTGACCTATATCCCTAAGAGAACAATTCCCACAAAATTCCTATCACTTATACTAAAGCATCCATAGTACCATTTCTCCACCTACTAGTGTCTTGCAAAACCTGCTAAAACTATTGATGCAGCTGTTACATTAATTTTGCTGGTTCAGGAAAACAGGGACAGGATTTCCCAAAGCTGTTACAAAGAACCTTGTGTTGCTCTTCAGCTTCTAGCCCAGTGCTTGGGATAGATCTGCTATGTATTGTTTCCCTCTCTTCTGGCTCTTGGGTTGCAGGCCTAACTATTTCTTCTTCGAAATAAAGCATTTTGGTTTCAGATTACCCCTTTCTCTTCCAGGTGTTATTTTTGCACCTTATGGCCCTGTTTGGAAGCAACAGAGGAAATTCTCTCTTGCAACACTGCGTCATTTTGGGGTAGGAAGACACAGCTTAGAGCCAAAAATAATTGAGGAGCTGAAGTTTATAAAGGAGGAAATGCTGAAACATGGAAAGGATTCATTTAATCCCTTTCCAATCATTCGCAATGCAGTATCCAATGTTATCTGTTCCATGGCCTTTGGGAAGCGTTTTAACTATGAAGATGTTGAGTTCAAGACGATGCTGAAGAACATGGCCCGGGCACTAGAGCTGAGTGTGAACAGCTCTATGATGCTGGTCAATATCTGCCCTTGGCTCTACTACCTTCCCTTTGGGCCTTTCTGGGAACTTAGGAAAACGGAGTTAGATATTACTGCTTTTCTAAAGAAAATAATTGCACAGCACAGGGATACCCTGGATACAGCAAATCCCAGGGACTTCATTGATATGTACTTCATCCATGCGGAAGAAGAAAAGAACAAGGAGAGCAGTTTTAATGAAGATTATCTGTTTTTTATCATTGGTGACCTCTTCATTGCGGGCACAGACACTACTTCCAACACGTTACTGTGGTGTCTGCTCTACATGTCTCTCTACCCAGAAGTACAAGGTAAGACTATTTTTATTCTAGGTGTTTTATTCCAGCTGTGAAGTTCTAGATTGAATGTTCAGAAGCAGAAGCAAACTGCAACAGTAGAGAATTAATTTGGAGTGCAAATAGCACGTGCATATGTGTAATTTGAAAGGCTGATATGTAATCAGACATCTTCTATCCTGCTCTGTTACGATGATCTCTACTGCTGTATATTAACCAAGTGGCCCTTTAGTCTATGCATTTCTTCTGTTTTGGGACAACTTTATATTTCTCAAGCAATTTCTGGGAACCTTAGCATGTTTCAAAAGCTCTGACAATTGTTGCATTCCAGGCTTATAGAAGTGATATATGTGACAGATCTGCTTTTATGCCTCCCTGAAAATGGAGGTTCTTGAGCCTAGCAGGAGGGGCTGGGGAAGTGAAGCCCTAGCCACTGTAGAGGAACATCAAATTAGAGACAACTGAAGCAAACTGGACTTACACAAGTCTGTGGCAGCTGGTCAGTGTCATTGCAAGGCCTCTCCTCGTCCATCTTGAATCGGCATGGCAGGTAGGTAGGTTGCTGAGTATGGGGAGGGGTGAAAGACATGGAGCACCTGTCCCCAGAGGAGAGACAGAAGGAGCGTGGCTTATTCACTTGTTGAGGAAAGGTGACTGAGGGGAGACCTTATGCTGTTTACAGCTACCTGATTAGAAAATGCCAAGAAGATGGAGGCAGTCTCTCCTGTGAGGTGTGCAGTAGAGGGAAGAGGGGGCAGGAGAGAGAGTCCACAACATGAAAATTCACATCAGATACTGGGGAAAAAAATAATTCCTTATGAAGATAGCAAGCAGTGCAACAGCTTGCCCCAGGACTGAACAGAATCTCCAACTTTGGAAGTATTCAAAACTCAGTGGGATATGACCCTGAATAGTCATACAAAGTTAGATGCAGTTAGATCTAACTTGGATAATAACTTTGCTTTGAGTAAGGATTTAGATTAGTTGACCTCCAGTGATTCCTTGCAACCCAGATTATTTGGTGGTGCTATGATCTAGTTATCGTTTGTGACCAAGTTCTAAAAAGTTACTTGTAGAGTTTTGTGGATATAGGAATGACCAGTGATGTTGGAGAGGCTACAGTATAAAAACAGCACTTGCTAGAGTTAAACTCCAGATCTTCTTAGGACAGATTTCCATCGCCAAAGACTTAAAATTAATCTTGGTTAAATATTTTTCTATACTGAGTCTTGTCACGGCACATGTGGTTGCAAAGCCGGTGTTTTCTGTAATACTATTTAGCAAATTTAGAATTTGGTAGAATTTAAGAAAAATAAAGCAATTGAATTCTTAGTTTATTAGCAGCTTCTCCTAAAGTACTACATAGCAAATGATTTCCACTAGAAAGATTTTCAGGTACGTGCAGACTGGAAACCTTGGCAGGATGGACAGTTTCTATTAGGTAATTCTACCTCAGTTTATAGTAATGAAATATTTCCCCAGGAGACTGCTACTTTGCCCAGACTTCTTGCTAATCTGAAGTGGAGAAGGGTAAACCTGAAGTTTTCTAAAAACAATATAATCCTGGAATATTTTTATCAACTACTTGAAATGTTGAGGTTTTTTCATATGCTTTGCAAATAAACAAATACGTACTTGTTTACATTCCTGTCTGGAATAATCTCTTTAAGTAGGTCAAGATCATAGTTTATTGCACAAAGTCAACCAAATTGTTGAGCAAAGGTTGCAAAATAGGGCATCAGTATATGGGGGAGAGAGTCCACTGGGAACGAATGAAAAAAAAAGTTATTGCATAGGCTTATTCTATTTTTAATGGCTGTGTGTTATTACTGCTTGACTTGATATGCAGTTACATGAATTAGATGTGTTCTAAATTACAGAAATGAGATATAGAGGATTGTTGGTTGGTTGGGGTTTTTTTAACCCCTTTCCCT